TCCATATTTTCTCATTTATTTTGAGGTCAGGTAAGGAGAAAAAGAAAAAAAAAAAAAAAAAAAGGAACACTGAGCCAGATCATTCTTAAAATCATCTGATTAATCCAAGTCTTAATCATGCATTATCAAAGCTGTATTTATACCTGTAGGAACTAAGTTTTCCACCAAGGGTTTCCACTGAATTTGTGTCTTCTACTCTGCCATACTACCCTTGAAGTCCTTAAAATATTCCCATCTCTCGTACATCCCTGAACATACCTACTTTGTCATCTGTTGCCTTGTTGAAGTGCAAGCATTTATTAAGCTATCTGTTAACGATCAGTTTTGCTGCTTTTTAATCTTATTACAGAGAATGTAAAGACGGTCTTTTGTAAACATGCAATCATATTTGCAATTAAAAAAAAAGCAGGGAAGAAAAACAAAGAAGGAAGTAACAGAAGAGTGAATGAATGGCAAGCAGCTGACGGAAAAAGAGGATGAAGGAGAAATAACTATAAAGGTATTTCTGTTGTAGCCTGTGCCAATAAAGTATTTAACTTATTAGAAGCCAAGCAACAGTGACCAAGGGGTATATTTTCATGTTCTTTACTCAATTGTCAGTAATCCCAGAGCATTAACCCATGCCAAAATATACATCAGGATTTACGTTAGTTAGTTACTACTGAAAGGTTAACAAGAAGGCAGGAAGTATGGCCTTTCCCCCATCTCAGTAATTCTGGCCTGTAAACAGCCCTCCTTTTGTCATTCTGCAGAAATGGCAAATCATTTGGCATTACATTTAAATAAGAATTGTAAATGTAGTTGTTATTATGATTGTAGTGCCAGTCCTGCCTCCATGAACAAAGTAAACATCAGGCATGTTAAGAATATTAAGAACATATTAAGAATACCATGTACTTCTGAAAAAAAAAAAAAAAAAAAAAAAACCCCACAGAATTTTACGATCCTTGAAGATAAAGACTGCTAGAGTCTTGAATTGCATACGATTTAAATATAGATGGTGGGATGACACTAAAGTCACGGTTTGTGTTTGTTACCTGTAAGAGCTTCTAAGCGAAATTGCTACTACACCTGAGACAATTGCTCAGCATTAAAATATTACCATCCCATTACAGTCAGAGGGAATTCTAACTGTACTTGCATTTTCCTTTTTACCTTTCCATTTTGTTCTTTTGGCATAAGGAAGAAATTAAAAACACAGGCTGGTGGGGATTAGGACTTGTAGTTTTGGTGGTGGTGGTTTTGCTTGTGATTTTAGGAGGGTTATTTGTTTTTCTTTTTAAACAACATTCTTGTTATTTTAGGAGAAAGCTTGGCCCCAATGAAACCAATAGATACTGGCAAAACCTACTGAAAGCTTACAATTTACACCTGTTTCAATCATAAAGCGATTTATCCGTTCACATTCTTACAGACAGTCTGTGAGTAATTGTCAAAGGAAATCCCACCATGGTGCCAAAAGAGCAATACCGTACGCCTGGGGATTAATTCTAGTCAAAAATATTTTGAAGCTGAGCAAAAGCACCTTTCTAGGAAGATGAGTTAAGCTTAAACAGTTACTTAGGACAGATTATTAGAAATGTCTCTTCTGCAAGCTTAACACAGATCCATAACAGAACTGTTAGGAGCTTTAATAGATACAATTAGGTGACAGGTTTTGTTAAGATTTGTGAATGCTTCCCATATATTCAAAGCAGTTTGGCTTAAAACACCTTCACAAAAAGAAGCAAAGCTGAAGGGGTGTCTAAAGAAATCGTGGTTCCAGCTCCTGATGTGGCTGGGGTTTAGAAGCCTATGATAGAAATGAAACATTCCCAATATTTTAAAAGACAAGACCTGCAATTAATCTGCAGAGTAAGAGAGGATGGCAGCTCTTTTTCCTATTACTCGTTTTGCTGAGATTGCACCCAAAAAAATTAGGGGACAGATATAAGCTTCAGAATATTTAAATTTGCAGTCAAGTAATAGTAAGCTATTTGCTACAATTAAGCACGTGCCTAACAACGTAATTTTCAAGAACAGTGTTTCTCAAGACTCATGATACTAAATAGTCAACATTGGTGGATTCGGTGCCCAAAGATTTCTTAAGAACATAATTTGTGTGTACAGAAAGATAAATCCATTCAACCTCCATACACTAGAAGTGCTACTGAACACATTTCCCTATAAACATTAGGTTTGGCTTATCAGTAGTTGGACTGTAAAGTTTTTCTTTCTTACTTTATCCCCACAAGTTCCCAACTGAAAAGCATACTTCAAGTAACTTCTGTAACAGCTAAAGAACACAGGCATTCAAACAAACAAAAAAAACAAACAAACAAACAAAAAGCATTTTAAATTGAAACCCAAAAATTTTAGTATCAATCATTGCAACTGAAAACTCTGCTTACAAAGTTAAGAAGAGGCTATGTGTATGGCATAAAGCATTTGGATTTCCTTATAGATTGTTATCTTACCAAAATGGAGAAGGGTAGGGTAATTTCCTGACACGTAAGAAGGGAAACATGGCAAACAGGATAGGAAACAAAATCTGGAAAGAAAAGTCAAGGAGAGGAATGTCTAGAAAAAGATTCTGAACAAAAAAATTATTTTACAAAGCAGGAAAAAGGAACATTTGTAGAAGAAACAGAATCGCTTTACATGTTCAGCATGCCACTATTACAGCTTCAGTCTTTTACATACTTTCATTCTAATTGAGCAGAGAAACATTTATGCAACTTTTCAAATAAAGCTTCAAGAGGGTATTTCAACATGATCAGTATTTCAGAATCATTTTGAGTATTCGTCCTTATCTGATGGCTGAGGGCCATGGTGTGGGGGTTGGGTGTTTTATTTCCTATAGATACAGAATAGGTACATCAGCTCCTTAGGCTAAATTGAAAGTGGTTCAACCTGCACCACACTTCATGGGCCAAATAAGCTGGGCACAGTGAATAAAAATTAAAAAAATTTGAGATTTATTATCCAAAAATTCATTCATTTCAGGATCTCAACCTAAAGTGGGGGGATGAGGGGTGGGAAACCGGTAATACAGCACATAATCATTACATTTTACTGGCAGGAGTTCAGACTAGTCTCTCTTCAGAGGAGTAGTAAAACTACAGGTGACTCGCACAGATCATTTTAAACAAGGGCAGTTTCATGTAACAGAGGATTTTTGAAGTTTTCTGTAGGTAGCAGCTCCTTGACCCTGTTAGTGCTGCATCCTCACACGGACTGCCTGAGCCTCCCTTGCACCAAACAAGAAGCTCTGAACAGACCTCACCCACTTCATTGTTATGCATCCATGTCCCCTGCCCCATCTAGGTATCAAAATATTGAATTTCTCCATAAGCCTGTAAAATCTTAGGTTAGCAAATCAGAATTCATAGATTATTTAATTTTTTTCTAAATCTGTATAAAATTACCAAATATCACAGCTACTATGTTGTCACTCTGGTTATTAAAGTTGCCAAGATAATTGCATCAAAAGGAGGAAAAAAGTAGTTACATCTGGTTTTATGGTGAGTGTTTTCCTGTGGATAAATGATACTATGCTATACAGAAACACATCTAGCACAGAGAGAAACATCTGGGTAGCAGGACAAGGCTTACATTTTTAAGGCTAGGTTGTGCATTGCCCTTTAATCTCTCGGCTTACTTTGGCCTAAAAGTACTTCTGCACCCTCATTCAAACTCATTTTTAAATAGAGGTAATAGTTAAATTGCCAATTCAAAAACTCTTAAAAAAGGCATTTCAAGCACATATATAGATTTTACTGGGGAATAAAAAAAAACCCCAAACTTATAAACACTTCAGGAAAACACTGATAGTATTTGTAACATTTCCAAGATATTTTAATATCTGCTGAAGTCCAGCTTTTTGTGGCTCAGAAAAATAATTTCCATATTAAAACCATATATGAACTAACCTTTCCTTAAACAAAGCATTTAAGCTTAGAAGCATATTTAAAAATGTTTAATGGAAAAATTAGGAGTATTCTATTAAAAACCTGCTTTAATCTTTTACATTACTATGATTTTATTACACTTCAGGACCAACTATTCTACAACCTGAATATAACTGGCTTAAAAAAAATATAAAAATCAAGTTATACTATTTCAAAACATATTTTTACCAAGACCTTTTCTGAGGTGAAAGGATTGCATTTGAGATATGCAAGCCAAATATTGCACATGAAGTTCACTAAAGCTTTTTCTACAGTGGTTAATCATACAATAAAAATAACTTAGAGTTTAATAAAAATATGCCCACAGCAGATGATTTCTGCATAAGAGGCACATAGAGGACTAAAACCAGTTGTGCTGTCAGTAAAGGACAAAAGATAACTATGTAATAGCTCAGAAAGCCTGACTATCATCGCTGCTAGTTCAACCTGTGCCAAGGATTTTACTGGACAAATTTAGATTCAGAAGGTGCTAGGTTTGGCTCAAGATGCATTACGCAAAGCCCTAAGAATGAAATTCCCATGTACAATGCTCCATGCTGGCTCTAACTTAAGGCATGATAAAGTCACAAACTAGAATAGCTATGAACTCAATCACAGAATGCTGAAGGTAATGGCATTACTAAAAATACGCGAGTTAGCTAGAAAAGCAAAAGTTATCTGAAATGCAAGAGCAGAATAAACAGAACCAGTCAGTAAGGAAAACAATTTCATAAAAATGCAAGATAAAAGTGGCAGCAAAAAACATGCTTTCAAATTAGAAGAACAAACCATTACCTACATTTCTCCCTTCCTGTCGTCTATTAAAACACAGAGCTCATTGACTACCTCCAAACAGCCTACTGACATTACTCATTGCTTGCTGACTCTTACCTTCAGCTATCTACAGAGTTCTACTTTCCATTGAACAGGCATAATTGCACTCTGTGGCATTTTAAGTAAATGACTTAAAAAGCTTATTCTAACCTTGTAAAACACTGCAATTCAAAACAGAAAGACCCAAAAAAGTGTTGGATTTGTTTTGGGTAGGTTTTTTTCTTTTTCTTTTCTTACCTGATTCTTTAGAGCTCTTTGCCACAAGTGAATCTACCTCTACAGATTTTGGTCTAAGTGGTAATGGTTCAGAGTCTAACTTTGGTTTTCCTACTGGCTCAATTTCAGATTTCGGTCGAAGACAAACAACATCTCCATTAGATCTGTAGTAAGAAAAAAAACCAAAAACCAACATGCACGTAGTCAATGAATTAAATAGTTACAACTGAAACATACCAAGAATTAGAAGTAAATTAAAAACTTTCAGTGTATCTTATCACTTTCTAAAGCTTTGCTTAAAGATCAAGTCTTCTGGAGACCAACTCTAATTTTTTAAATGCCAGTTCTTCTGTTCCAGCTCTTCCAGAGTTGTCCAACATGTACAATCCCCTTGTAAAACCAGTCCAAAGCTTTTACTACAGGGTACATTTTGGCACTTAAATCTAAAATATTACACTGCAGTGCAACAGAAATATAATATCTTGTGAAATGTTCAGAAGCATTACTCAGACGCCTTGATATCAAAATCTTCCTGTAAAGAAAAAAAGCTGCCAAGTTGTTTCTTTCTAGGCATAGAAGAAAGTACCTTGTACACTTGGCTTTTATTCTACCATGCATTCTTTGCATGTCTGGCCATATCATCCAGGGACAAATAAAACCACCAAAGCATACGTACAAAAAAAGATTATATTTTCCTTTACAATTCTTGCCATACCTTATGCTACAGCATTAAAACAAATAAATAAACAAACAAATAAATAAATCTTTACTTGGGAAACTCTCAAAAATACCAAATGATATAACACATTTACATACTGCAAAACTAAACAGAAGTAATGTGGCAATGGTCTATTTCTTCACTCAGGCATCCAGCGTACCCAGGGCTGTGCAGAGTAGGATCAGAGGCGGCTGATGCCTCTTGGAGTCAACCATCCAAACTGTGTACCTTACCTACACTCCTTTTTCCCACTGCCCTCCTCCTCACTCTTTTCTCACTTTAGATATTCCTCCTTATGGTTCAGCTATACAGGACCTGCTGTTAAAAAAAGATAAACCTTGACAAGTGCTTGCTGCCACCCTGTATCTTGGTTGGTAGTTAAGGTGCAAGCTCTTTGATGCAGCATCTGACTGCTCCTTTATTTGTACAACGCAAAGTTCATCATAACCTTACTTTCTCGTGGTTCTTTGAAGTTAACTAACATCCCAAAGGGACAGTTAACCGTCAGCAGATTATTTATAGTTTAGGGGTAAGGATCTTGCAATTACTTTGATGGAAACAAAAAGAAAAGCTCTGTGGGGGGGATTGTATTGATGCAAAATTAGTCTTAGTGAAACACCATAACTAGTTTCAAACCCGTAAGAAAAAAAATTAAAAGTGGACCTAAAAGAAATGGTGAGCCATTACTTGCTATTACCCTCCCTGTTTGCCCAGTAACGCAATTGAGAATACTGAAGACAGAGTACAGAGACTGGATGTGGTTCTGAGTAAGTGCTTTCTCCCCAGAAGAGCACACTGGGTGCCTCTAGCACAGGTGCTAACTGTGCTCAACTCTTCCTTCCCATCTATCTTACTCTGTTTCAATTGCTGAAATGCTGAATATTGATGCAGCTCAAATCTTCATATTTTCTTCCAACACAACAGTAATTCTGAAGTGCCATGTCCACAGATTCTGTCCACCATACCGCTGCCGTAGCTATAACTTCTTCATTGTCGGGCAGGCTTAAAGCAAGCTGCCTGCAGATTTGTAACCTCATCTGCCTCACAGTTAGTTATACTGAAATATTCACTCTGTGATGGATTTCATGTCTCAAAGAATTAGAAAGTTACAAGTGCACATTTATAAAGATTTGGAGAACTAAGACACTGGTAGGTATAGAGCAAAACTTATCCTTGCATCCTTTTCACCCTTAAAACATAAATTTCTTCCCACCTTGTCCATGATGAAAGACTGAACAAAACACCAAATAAAATACACTCAATATATAAAATATAAATGATACTGACTTGGATACAGATGATGGCAAAAGAGGTTTATCTGGACGTTTTGGGTGCAGAAGCCCTCCTCTCAGTAATCTGTTAGTCTTGCTTGGAGGAACAGGCTTCTTAGGTGGTACTTGAGGAGCTTGTGGTTTCAAAGGCTTCTGATCCAAAGCTCCTTTTTCATCTGACAAAATAAGTCATCGTAACATTTTAAACCCCCACATTATCTAGAATTCTTACAATGCTAATCAATTATAAAGCAACTGCTGTCAGAAATACTTTCTTTTAAGATCAAAGTGAAAAATAGATTTGCAAGTGTCTTAAGTGATACCTTATCAAAACACACAAACTACTTACCTGAACTTAAAAAAAACATGTGAAAGTAAGCAAAAAGTCTTTCTACTGACATGAAATAGCAGTAAGAAATTACTGATCCACATTACTGCACATCAAATGACAGCTAAACCCCAAGAATCTCTCTATACTGCTACTGCTTTCTCTTTTCTATTAATTCACCTTGTCTCTTCTTAAAAAGATAGGGTTTGGTTTTTTCACTTTATTGTAACTAGAGCTCTTCCATATACAAAAGCAGCAGAATTTATCTATGCAAAAAGGAGGCAGAGAGAGGAAATATTTATCTGAATAACTGAATTTCTTTTAGATAAAGTCTACCTTCCCACAAATTCAGGATACAGATTAAGTACGGATAATCAAATAAATAAAAGTTATATTTATTAACAACTGCATGACCTAATCAAGTACTGTCCAGAGGAGATGGAGCTATATAAAATATGGAACATGGAAAAATTCGAGCTGCTTCACAAACATGAGTTGAATAGTCTTCAACCTACATTTCCTAATCATAGCCTGTGGGATATCCAGAGCATACCTTCTGCTTTTCCATGTAAAACTACGCTGCAGCCTCACTGGGCATGCATAAAGCAGTGAGGATTCAAAAGATTTTTGTTAGGTACTGTAAGGAGTTAGTCCTTCACAGTTACTACAGTAAACCAGTTAACTGGGACCGACCTTCAGCTTTGCTTCTCCCCATGCTTCCCTCCTATGACTTTGATTTTAACCAAGTATTAGTCTAATGTAAAATATTTAGATATGCTATGAATTTAAGGCTTGGGGTGGAAATTTGCTTCAGCTCCATCCCAGCTAATTGCCTGAACTGCCAGTTCTATGCCTGACTTCCTTTGGAAAACTCCTCCAGCTGCTGAGTGTCAGCCGTCTAACTCTAAAATGGGAAAACACTGATTTTCTTTCTCAGGAATACTCAGACATAAACAGATTGTAGAGATACTTTTGCAAAAGAAAAGTATAATCTGGGACAGATCATCTTCCTGCTTTGGGACATCTGAACATTAGGAGGAAACACGAACAAAAAAAATCCCTAAACTGTTTGACATCCCCTTCTAGTCTCTTAGTATTGACATAAAAAAATAGAATACTGAAGTAGTGGAAGAATTTTGCCACATGGTGGAGCTGACTCTCCGGTGTAGAAGAGCCTGTTAACAGCGCTAGCCACTTCTGCCTACTGATCCTATATGCAAGACTTTAAATGCCCAATACGAGTTAACATGAACTGAAGTTCAATTAGCTTTATTTTAGCTATGCTGAACACAAGCTGAGAATGATGCCTTTTGTTTTTAGGAATTAGTGAGTTCATTAACAAGACAGAAAAACTGCTGTCATCAAATCTTATTCCTGAATTGTCATCTGTCAGTTTTCCCTTCAATTACTCCCACTCAAAATCTGAATATAAAAACCCTCCACAGCTAAGTAGAAGAAGTTAATACCAAAGTTCAAGATTCACCATGAGCTCAGAAATTGGACAATTTTGCTGGACAAAATGGCATGCCTCTTTTTTGGCTTTTGCTCTGCAATGAGAGATGAGGGTTGGCTAAGAATAAGCAGTTTAGTAACTGAAATAAAATACTAATCTGAAGACATTTAAGCTGAACGAAAAATTCTTCATTATACCAGTAAGTGCCCTTCACTATACACAAACACAGGAGTACTGCTTGTAATTTTTGATCACAATTCAAGGCAGATTTTTAGTCTCCCAATAAGCATTAAAAAAATTACATAGTTTGATAGCTTGTGATTAGAGCTGCTCAGTTAATTTTCTTTTTGAAAACTGATTACAGTACAATGTCTTAGTTAATAAATTTAATCGTAGTATCAACATAGTTATTTTTCTGTAAGTAAAACTGTACTGATAAATGGGCATTTCTTCTAGGAAAACACTACTGCTATCTATACAGGTAACTTTTACAACCTGACCTTCAACTGAATACATGACAAACTCCTCCATCATGATTTCCTGCACCGCAGTAAAGGACAGTTCTCTACCTTACTTAATTATTCAGAAGCTTTCACATTCCTGAGCATTTTGGATGGTGTTCTCAGTAGGCCTTTTTTTTCCCCCCAATATTCCTTCAAGAACAGTTGAACTCAACTATGTGAAATTTAATACCATAGTACAAACAGAACCAATCTAAAATTAAACTTACTTCAGGTTAAGTAAACTTAAATTTACAAAGAGCCAAGTGATCAAAACTTCTAGAACCATACAGCTGATCTCAATTCACACCTTAAGATACTGTTCCAACAGCTAAAAATAACTTGCTTAATCATATGTGGAGGAAACATAGCTGACTTTAGCAAGTATTCTTCAAATGAAACACCTGAGAATGTGTTTTGTTTAAAATGTGGTTTGTAAAATCTGCCCAAGGAAGCCAAGTAACCCACTGAGCAGGCTTACTTGTCAAAACGCCGTTCAGCCATGGTCAGGCACAGGTCACTATTCAGAGAACAGAGTATGTTTTTGTAATATGGTTAAGCTGCAGTAATACCAGAATTTCTTCTGCAAGACCCAGTGAGCATGTTTAAGATTTTACTTTTAAACACAATCAAAAACAGTTTGACTTGACAAATGTTTAAAATATGAGAAGAAGCCATTTCAAAATGTATTTGGGTGACAATAGTAGGAATAGCAAGAACTAACAGGAAAGAAATTTCAATTTCTGAGCATTGCCACTGTAATATCCATCTAAGGAGTGTCGTAACTGTTCTGTGTATTTCTTTCAAAAATGTTTTCCATTGAGATTGGCTTTGATCAAAACATTCAGATGCAGCAGCAAATGTCTACATTTCTGGCAACTTACTACTGCTCTTCAGAACTGCAGTAACTATCACAGAACTATCCTTAAATCAATTCAATAGTAATTATGTCACTATGCAGTGCAATATATATTTTTCAGACTGTAATGCAATTACAAGAAATTTAGTTCTTGTTCTAATCACTCTAAAGATATTTCCAGAACATCACAGACACAACTTCAGTAGATGGTATCAAAAGAATCCGCATGTCATCTTCCAAACAGGTATCTATTACATAGAGCAGCCAACCTAAAAACTGTAACTCATTTGCAAGATCATGGTTTGAAATTGTCAATGAAGAAAACTGATCTCACCTTTTTCTTCAGGCTTCAAAGAAGGTAATTTCTTCTCTCCACTTGGCACTTCAGGCTTTGGAGCTGAATGCAAAAAGAAACCATAGACATTTCTGTAAAGCTTTAATTATCGTCACTAACTAAAAATATGACATACACCAATTTGTGTTTATATTTTCCCCTTTGCGAGGAGTGTAACACCATTTATAAACACTCATTTGAGCCCAGAAACCAGTAGGCCTGTATTAGAGTGTTTCCAAAGTAGGCTTCATCATGATTTTGAAAAATATATAGCAGCAGCATACTACATAAAGCATAAAAATTAACATCAAGCTGTGACTATGGGTGGCTGGATTACTAGGAAATACAAAGTTACTTCTGAATTTTCTTTTGAAGTCATGCACTGCTTCCAATTTCATATTTCCTCAGACACATACCACTATTCATACACTACATACCTGGACTTTTAACTGGAGGTGGAGGTTTCTTTGGTTTCTGAAAAAACAAAGAATAAATAAAAATAGTACTCAAACAGATATTCTCTATTGAAGACAGACTCAGTGTTTTGTTTTTTGTACTGTAATGTCTAGCTTGTTTACTAGTTGATTTCAAAGTATTTCACAAAGGAGGCAATCAGTTCACAGACAGGAAACAGAACTGAAGTAATTCCTCCTTTATCTCCCAGCCAGCCAGTTGCAAAAACAAAATGCAGGTTTCTTCAAATCAGATCAGTGCTTCAGCAACATGTATAAGCAGTAGGAGTACAAAGAACTAAAAATGGAGACATACATTTTTTAGTCCAAGGAATTGTTCTGGTGGCACCCATTTTAATCTCATTATGGAAACCTCAGTCTCAGTACAATGCAAGTTTAAAAGAATAATCAGGTAAGTTTTTGAACTCAAATTGGTCACTTTCACAGAAAAAGAAAAAAAAAAAAGCACTAAATTAAGTATCAGGAAAGCTATTTCAATTAACTGATTCCTAAATTACAAGTGTAAGGAAACAAATGAAAATAGCAGCCTTTGCAATATAAACTCTGCAATTTTTCATTGCAGTTTTCAAATACTATTTCGAGTTTCCTTATGGCTGTATATTTAGGTGGGAAAGGTGGCCTTTAAACTAGCCTTTAAAACTGTACAAAGTATTACAGTGTCATAGTCTGTACATTGAAAGTAACTCTATTTTACAATGCAGTCACTCATCACTTCCCTTAAACTGGTAAAATTTAATTTGAATCTCTCCTGTTGAAGGAGTACTGGCACCTCTCAAGACAGGTATTTTAAGCCACCTCATCCTCAAAATGAGATTCACGAAAATGCTTTAGAAGTGCTATCTTCATAGTTGTACTGAGGACAAGACACACTGATAAGGCGATCACAAAAGCTAAAAAAAAAAAAAAAACAAAAAAAAAAAAAAAACCATATGGGCTCAGCCTAATATAGCCCCTCCAAAAATACCCTGTAGTAGGCATTTTTGAAACAGTTGCTATGGGTAGATTTCATTTCTGTGCCCCTACCACTATTGAATAAGATACTCTTAATACAGAAAGATTTTATCCTGATAGGTGAAATGGAATTAAACAGGCATGAAAACCCATATTAAATTTCTTTCTCTAATTTCAGAGAACACAAAAGCTAGTGCACTTAAGAACAAGACCATATTTTCTTTCTTTACCCCTAAAATAAACACATTATCCAGCTGTGCAGCATTTCTGCCTATATCAAAACCAATTACGCTGAAAGCTCAGCATCACCCTGCCAATACATGATTCTGATTTGTTTTTATTAAGTCGGTATCAAATAGCTGATTATAATAATCAGCCATCTAATGCTTTGAACTTCAAAGCTGCTCAATGCAAGGTGAATCCCTGTACTGAGACACACTATACAAAGCAGAATAAAGGATCAAAGCAAGGTTTGTCTACAGGAAACACTGTTTATGGTAAAAGAACAATTTCTTTTCCCTTTCTTGAAGAGCAATTCTGTACTGCAAAACAGTAGTACTTCCCACCCATTCCTCAAATCATGTCAGCTGTATATTACAGCATTTATGCCATTCTTGCAAAGCTGAGAATCAATTTAAGAAGAAAATCCTGACTTGGAATAGCTAGACTTTCTGTGTACGTTAAGCAACTTAGACTAAATGCTAAGTTAATAACTATCAGGTTGTACCTAGCAGTTCTCTGTGAATGTCTCCAATTCCAGACCAAATGACACTAAATTACTATGAAACTCAAACTGTTCTGCTGAGATACAGGCTTCAACATTTAGATTTTCTGGATCTGCATCCATCCCATCTCAGGATGATGTACATTTGTGAGTTAACACAACCATTTTGCTATACAAACTTGTCACAGCCAAAACACAACACTAATCTCAATGAGAAAATTATAAAATATGAATCAAAATTACAAGACTGAGGAGTACCACATGAAGCCATGTATTTCCACAACTTAGCACGAAACGGTAGAAAAAAAGATATTTCTAGATCTCATCCAAAGATTCATGCACTGCAGCCTACTAGCAAGTCTGAGCATGGAAAAATCCCAGTCGGTCTCACAGAGGCCATTCAGCATTTTGTAACTATAGCTACTTACAGAACTACAGATGGAGGAGACCAACTGCTTATATATCCTTCCAAACCAGTAAGGGTTTTATGCAGTAAACAGTTATACATTACAGCATGTTATCAGAACTATATCCTTTACTATATGACCTAATCATCCTCATTAATACAGTTAATATCAAAAAGCATTCCTCAGTTAACATTTAAGAAGTTTAAAAGACAAGCACTAACTTTTAAATCTTTCTTCTTTGATATAGCTAATTCAAGATAAAACTGCTATAACTGTAATAATATTTTAAGCAGCATAATATGCTATGAAGCATTTTATTGTTTGCATTTCCACCAGTATTTTTTTGATACTAAATGATACACGTAAGAACTTACAGGGAAGTCTTTATCAGACTCTTGTATTTGAACAGCAAAATTATCTGGGAAGACTCCTTCTTTACCATTGAGTTCTCCTTTCCACCAGCCTGGCTCTCCAGTGTCCTAAAATAAACAACAGGACATTTCAATCAGGATTTAATTCTTCCCCAGAAGAGATACAATTACAGGAACATTTTTGTAATTGTCTGAAATACCACGTTTATAAGAGGAATACTTTGGCCACCTTCCCAAGGGGAAACAGCTACAGATCAGGTTTGGTCACTTTTTGTTTGTTTTCTAAAAAGCAGGAGATATGTATTACATCATATATAAGATAAGGGTACAAGGATAAGATCTGCAAAGGGAAAGAAAATACATAAACCCAGTTATGACCCAACCCACAGTATTCAATATACTGAACTTCCTTATTGTTGACAACTGGCAACTTATTTAATAAATACTTCAAGTGGTATTGGTGTAACACACAATTCTACTCAACAAAAGTGATTCTGACGTGATGGATCAGGTCCACTGGTCAGAAAAGGGTGAAGAAGCAAGAGGATATACCCTACCAAGCGAAAAATTAGTCACATTAAGGGGTAAATTAAAATTACAAAAAAAGAGGGCAGGGAGGGAGGGAGAATTTATCCAGTTGCATAAAAATCCATTATATGATCTTACTGGATCAAGGCCTTAGTTTATCCATAACAAGAAGTATGACGTTATTTGAATATTTTCGCAGCATAAATAACAGCTTTCCTCTGTTCTTCACATCCAAAGTACAGCAGATGTCACCCCTGCATACAACTCCAAGTGGATTACTGCTAGTAAGTGCCACTGTTAGCAGCCCCAAGTAGTTTATTCCAAAATTCAGTACACAGCAAGAGCAATTCAGTACTTGGTTCAGCTGGAACACTGGACAGGTAGAGGAGAGGGGAAAAAGTTTAAAAAAAAAAAAAAAATC